GCTCGGCACATTCCACTAAAGCACAGAGACGTCGGTTGAAAGCGCCCTCACGGAACAGCCCCCCGTCGATGGGGCGATCTTCCCTCGAGCGAGGACGACGAAGAGAGAGGGCGAAGACCACCGCGGCATGATCAGAGATGCTTCGGTCCGGAACCGAGGCTGCAGACCCAACAGTAGTGGGCTAAAGGAAGAGCTGACACAGCAACTACCCAGGCGCCGAGAGGAAGAGGCGATCGATGGAGGATTCGGAGTTGCTCGCCTCTTCATAGGGCGATGGAGCGTCGCACTCCCCCTCACCAGTTCGGCCAGAGCCCTCCGCCAGATTGCGGCGAGGGGCGGTCGCCGACGGGCAGCTCGTCGCACTGCCGCGCGAAGCAGATGCAACACAACCGCCTCCTCGGAGGCGAAGTTGAAGTCCCCGCTCGCGATGGGCAAGCGCTTGGCGGGGTCACCATCCGCGAAGGACTTCACCGTGCAGATGACCTGCACCACGCGCGCCACTTGGTCCACACTCACCCCGCGATTGTGGACATGGCATGGGAGATGTCGAGCTGACCGCCCCCTACCTCCACACCGACGCGAAGAACGCGCCCAGGCACCAGAGCGACAGCACGGCTGATAACAGGATGCCCACCCAGTTGACCCAGCGCGGGATGAATGATCGCGACACCGCCGCGAATCTTCAACTCAGGAGCATCACCACAAAACGAGAAATGGATAATCGCGTCACTCGAGATGCCATGGACAAGATTACTGAGCTGACAAGCATCTTGATGCACCTCTTACAAAGAAATGATGTTCGGAGAAGACATCAGCTTCTCTAGGCATCTCCCCTTGAGAGCAGCCTTCGCACCAGCAGCTTGCAGAAGCCCACGCGCACTCCAAGTCGCTGAGTGCACCGAGGGAAGCTCGCCATCGCCGCCTCTGGAGGCGCCGCGGAAGAGGCGCCAAACAGCCAAAACACCACTGTGATTCAGCACGAGGGGCGACGACGTGCCTCGCGAGCTGCACCAGGGCATGTTTGTCGACGTTGTGGTTGCGAAGAGCGGCCTCGTCCCACATGAGCTGGGCCGGGCCTTCTCCTCTCCAGGTTCAACAGTGATAGGAAGTACCCTGCCCCACCCAATCGAAAGGACCCCGCGGCCACGATCACTGAAGAGGCGCAGCTGGGGGCGAACTGCTGCAATCGCCGACCTGCACCGACGGAGCACCACTTCAGTGCGGATCTGGCGCGGGTTCTTGTCGGGGCCAAGGCGCATGCCCGCCTGCTCACCGCCGGGCACTTTGGACGGAGAGTTCCCTCCACGCACCATCCACACGGAGATGGGACAGAACCCGTAATACCTAACGGGAGGCGACCGCCACCAGCCCACGGGGTTTGACATGGAAACGCTTCGTAGGACCTACGACGTAGGTGACATCCCGACAGATTCGATCCAAGACTGGCTCTTGTCGAACCCAAGCTCCTCCAGCCACGGGTAGACCGCCTCGGCGACACACTGGGCCGTGGTCGCGCTCTGCACAATGACTACCACGAGCGTGGAGTCCAAGTCGCGGTCAAATCCCGACGGGACAGCCAGAGGGGCACGCGGGCGCCGCTCAGCCACCTCCAGGCGGCCACGCAGCTCTGGCAGCTGACGCTTGAGGTCGGCGATGTCCTTCTCAGCAGAGTCAAGGCGGCCACCGTGGTCGACGAGAGTGCCAGAGTGGGTGCCGATCTGGACCTGGAACCGCCTCGCCACCTCGTCCACCTGCGAGCGGACAACCCCCGTGATCTGCTGTCCCATGCGAGGAGGCTGCCCCACAAGTTCAGCACGAAGTTTGTCCACCAGCCCGAGGACCTTGTGGTTAGACGACTGCACCGTAGCCAATACCGCGGCCCGGACCGACTCACCGAGCTCGTTCTTGACTTCATTGAGCATGGGGTAAAAGATATCCTTGCAGATTTGTCGCACTGCTCATCAGACATCCGCAGCGTCATCACCATCACCGCCGCCATCCGCAGCACGCTTGCGAGGAACAAAACTGCCAGGAGCAGCAGAACCCTTGCCGCCCTTCCCCGAGCCCGCAGAGCCAGGGGAAGCAGGGAACGTCGGCGCCAGGTCGAGGTCTTCGCCATCGTACCTGGTCAAGCACCGAAACATCAGCACCACCTGGGCCAGGAACTAGAAACGCCTCTGTTTACCCAGCCTCGGGGCCCCTGGCCCGAGGGAGAGGAGGAGGAGGAGGAGGAGGAGGAGGAGGAGGAGGAGGAGGAGGAGGAGGAGGAGGAGGAGGAGGAGGAGAGGAGGAGGAGGAAGGAGGAGGAGAGGGGGAGGAGAGGAGGAGAAGGAGGAGGAGGAGAGAGAGGAGGAGGAGGAGGAGGAGGAGGAGGAGGAGGAGGAGGAGAGAGGAAGGAGGAGGGGGGGGGAGGGGGGAGGAGGAGGAGAAGAGGGGAGGAGGGGAGAGAGGAGGAGGAAGGAGGAGGAGGGGAGGGGAGGAGGAGAGGAGAGGAGGGAGGAGGAGGAGGAGGAGGAGGAGGAGAAGAACTCCTGGCCTCCTGGCCCGCTCCTCCTCCAGGAACTGGAAACGCCTCAGTTTACCCAGCCCGGGGGATGCGCCGCGGGCCAGGAGCGGGATGCCACAAGGCACGGGCGGTGAAGCTCCAATGCCGCGAGGCCTGTCCTCGCAAGCTTGAAGCGAGCAAGCTTGAAGCGCCAGGGAAGCGTAGAGGAGGAGGAGGAAGAGGAGGAGGAGAGGAGACGGGAAGAGAGGGGAGGGAGGAGGGAGAAGGGAGGAGGGAGGAGGGAGCAGGAAGAGGAGGAGGAGGAAGAGGAGAATGAGGGAGGGAGGGAGGGAGGGAGGGAGGGAGGGAGGAAGAGCGAGGTGAAGACAGAAGAGGTTTTGTTGCTGCTAGAACCAACCTGGCACCACCTTGCCTCAGTCAGCCTTCGGGAAAAAAAAAATGGACGGGCGGGCACACTGAGAAGGTGCCAACACTCGCCCGTCCACTCCTCAGTCCAGAGCTCTCTCCCAGTAGGCGCCCCGCTCACACTGTAAGAGTGAGCGGCACGCCTCTCCCAGGGAGAGCGTCACGTGAGAAGGGTGCCTGCATCGGCGCAGGAGCGAGCGGCGATACTCGGCGGTCGTGTTGGCGGGCCGACCGACGCACACCTGCACCAACTTACATTCCCGCTCGCTCGAAAAGACACCGCACCGATCGCAGAAGGTAAAGTGGCCCGCGCGGTGCAAATCATGGCCAAGGGCCTCACCGCGCAGTGCTGGTGGGATAAGGTGATCCCCCTCCCCCCGCCCCACGACGAAACGACTGTCCACCCGAACCTTCCCCATGCACAGCTTGCGCCACAAGGCCCTCTTGGCCTTGGGGACAAAGCATACCTACAGCAGACCGTGCACCCCCAGGCCACCCGAGTCCAGGCCAGGGCGTGGGCTTTCTCCCCCGCTGGTGGGCCTTGGCGGCGCTGACGGGGCCCGACGGAGCCTGCGGCGGGCCTCCCCGTGGAATCCTCGAAGCCCCCCATCCGAACAGTCACCCTCACCACCAGACTGAGCACCCTCTGCACCTCGTCGGACCGCGAGGTCCAGGTGGCGCACTTCCACTGGGGAATCGCCTGCAGATCGGCACCCGCCTTGGCCTCCGCGTCAGCTAACTGGTTCCCCTGGAAATCGAGCTCCGCCTCATGGGAGTTGTCCCGAGGCCCACGGGTGTGGGCACGAACTTTCACCAAGGCAAGATCGTCGTCCCCTGGAAAACTTTCCTGGGGCAAAAACCAGACGCGGTCCCAGGGATCGGCGTGAGGCCGCTTGGGGGAGCAACACCACTTGCGACCACGCCTCAAACCTCGGATGACGGTGCTATTGTCAATACCGACTCGGAGGGGATGGGCGGCGCATTCGAGGGTCTTCTTCATCCAGACCGTGAATCTCGGCACGGAGAACAGACGCCTGGCATCGGAGCCCAGGGAGGGAGCCGTGCATGGCCCGAGCCACGGCCCCCTCCTGGTCCAGAAAAACGTTGCCCCGACCAAAACTCTTGAGCCCTGGCGGGCCCTTGCCCGAGCCGTCGGAGTAGGCCCAGCCGCTGACCAGGGGCGGGTTTTCAAGACTGGGGTTGAGCTCCTCCTGGGCGGGCGTGCAGTTTAGGAAGGGATCATCCAAGGGGTGCTCGACAATACCACGCGAGAAGAGAGGAGAGTCCGAGGAGGAGGTCTCAGCTCGATGCACGATCCCTTGGAGATTCTCCGCCTCGGCTGTTTCTGCCCGAGCGGCTTCCTGACGAGGATAGCGGCAGATGCGGTGGTGCTGGCAGCCCACCTCGAAACCACACGCCTGGCAGGAACTGTCGTCCCCAAAGCCCGCCCGTCAGCCTTTCTTGGGTCCAAAAATCGCGCCCGAGGTAAGCGAGGATAGCCGATATCCTCTGCGGCGATCGGTTAGCCCTGCGGCGGAGGAGAGCCCTGACGGGCTCCAGAAAAGGCCGAGCAATCCCAAGGCTTCTGGTGGCGGCCCAGGCCGAAAGCTCTACAAACTCAAGTCAGGCAAAAATCAACTTCTTGAGGCAGAAGACAGAAGAGGGAAAAGGAGGGAGGAAAGGGGAGAAGGAAGAAGGATGGGGAGGGGAGAGGTACAAGGTAGGAGGTAGGAGGTAGGGGGAAGTAGGAGGAGGAGGAAAAGGAGGCAGAGGAAGAGCGAAGAAGAATAATCATAACCAGCGGCCGACAGGCGACGGGGCCGAACTCCCCCCGGCAACCCTCTCCTCCTTGGCCTCCGCACCCGCCTCCAGTGACGACGTCGACGGCGACAACGGCGGCGGCGGCGGCAACGGCGACGATGATGGCGACAACAACGACCACGGCAGCGACCGCGGCGACGGCGACGGCGGCGATGGCGACGGCGACGGCGGCGACGGCCACGGCGGCGGATTGCGTCGGCGACGTCGGCGACGGACTGTGGCGGCGGCGTCGGTGACCGGCGAATTGCGAATTGCGGGGGCCCGCGGCCTTGTGGTCCGCCTCCGTCGCCTGCGGCTCTGGCGCCTCGCGCGCGGCAGGCCGCTCTCCTCCTCCTCCTCCTCCTCCTCCTCCTCCTCCTCCTCCTCCTCCTCCTCTTCCTCCTCCTCCTCCTCCTCCTCCTCCTCCTCCTCCTCCTCTTCCTCCTCCTCCTCCTCATCCTCCCCGCGAGGATGGGCGAGGAGGATGGGGGAGGAGGAGGGAGGAGGTTGGTCGTCGGCGTCGTTGTCGCCAGCGTCGTTCGTCGGTCGCCGCCGCCGACTGGCCGCGCGCTCGCTGGTCGTAGGCGTCGACCCGCGGGCGTGTCCGAGGGTCTGAGGCGTTTGGGTGCCCTCTTTCGGCCTACGGAGGCCTCCGGAGGACCGCCAGAGGCCTCCAAGGAGGGAGAAAGGGAACGCACGGGTACCAAGAGAAGAGAGGCAGTCAAGGGCAAGAGACGAGGCAGACGCCCATCCAGGGGCAAGAGTGTCCATGGCTGCAGGGCAATCCGCCGCATCTCACGGAGGCTCTCCTTAAGAGGCCGCAGCGAGCAGACGCGACGACCACCCTACCAGCACCCAAGCCCGCACGACGAGTAGATTGGCTTCCGTGACACGAAGCTTCAGCTTCAGGGCGTGGGGGATGGAAGAGGGGGAGGAGGAGGGCCAGAGAAAACACAAGGCAGGTTCACGACGCTCGCTTCCATACGCCCACTGGTCTTCAGCCCCCTCCTCACAGCCCCCTGCGGGAATGCCTTTTGCGCTGCGGGAAGTTGTCCCCCCTTGGAAGACGGGCGAGGACGGTCCTGCAGTTCGGGCGAGAGTCCCGTTCTGAAGAAGAACTGCCGTCCATGCTTCGAGCTATACCGATGGGCCTGTTTTCCGCCACCACCACCATAAGTTGGAGGGGGGAAGGAGGAGGACGAGGAGGGAGGAGGAACAGGAGGAGGAGGAGGAGAAGGAGGAGAAGGAGGAGAAGGATGAGGAGGAGGAGCATGAGGAGGACCCCCTCCCTTTCCAACTTATACATGGTGATGGTGGGTGATGGTGGTGGAGAACAAGCCCCATCATATACGGACAACGACGAGGTAGGATCAGAAAGCCCAGGGCAATGCCAAGCGAGAGCCCCGTTCTGAGAAAGGGCCGTCCTAAATCCGCGCAGTCTCTGTGCAAGAGCGTAGGCCCGATGCGAAGAGGAGCCGCCCTTCGTCCGTTCGACTGCGTAACAATTTCAGACTTCTGCTCACGAAATGCCAATGCGACCCCAAGCGAAAGCTTCGCTGTGCGAAAGACCACCTCAAATCCGTGCAAGCGGCAGAAAGTTGTAAAACGGATGCGCGCAGCACAAAAGGCGAAAGAGGCACTTTGAAAAGAACCTCACCTATCCGCTCAACTGGTGGAAACTTGTCAATGTGCGCGGCGCGAGGGCGAGTCACATGTTGAAAGCCACCCCCTCAATCAGAGCAACTGCTGGAAGCTTGAAACACATGTGCGCGGCGAAAAAGCGAGAGCCGCATTATGAGCTGCACCTCCCTCCATCCGTGTAAAAGCTTGGAACTTTGACGACGACTGCGAACGGCTCTGAAGCGAGAGCCACATCTTGAAAGAGAAACCGCCACAGAGCAACTGTTGGGCACTCCAAGTTTCGAGGGCAAGCGGGGAGGAAATCTCAGGCGAGACGCCCAGCCCGCCCGGCCAGCACGTGGTGGTCGGACGAGTCGGACGAGGAGGAATGATCTACTATAAGGACATGGGCTGGGGGAACGGAGAGGAAAGATTTGCATTGAAATCCGCATAGGTGTCAGCCAGAAGCGCCCCAGGACAACAGAGCGAATAAGGCAGCCAGGGGAAAAGGCAGGAGGAGAAAGCACTGAAGAGGCAAGATCTGCACGAACATAGCACATAACCTGTTGAAGTCCGCGCGGACTTCTTGAACTGGCGCTGGAGCCCCCAGGGGCCTGGGGCTCCCCCCCGCCGCCCCTCGGGGCCTACGGCAGGTTCGTGTCGCGACGACCCCAGCGTTGGTCTCTGACACAGCGTGGGTCGCTGAACCTACAGCGATCGGCAGCTTTTTGATTCTTCCACGCTGGCCGATTCTTGGGAAAACCAAAAGGTACTGATGCCGGTACCCTCCAGGCCTCTCCCGGGGTGCGTTCTGACCAGGCTTTCGAGGCGAATCCAGCGGTGGCGACGAGGGCCTCCCAGGAGGCCCAAAAAGGGGAAAACGAGGCGAGGGTAGCGGTATGGGTACCTTTTCCTCCTCTGAGTGACACGGCCGCCCGCCAGCGGGCCGAGCCCTGGTGGCTGCGCCGCCTGGCGAAGGGCCGACGAAGGTGCCGACACGGCCGCCCGCCAACCGGCCTGCTGTCCGGCCAGCTCCGCGGCGAGGTTGCGCCCGTCCTGCGGCGCGAGCGCCGGGCGCGGCCCGGAGCCCCCCCGAAAGGGCGCCAGTCGGGGGCTCGTCGGGGGCACGAGGAAGAGGAGGGGGAGCAGGAGGAGGAGGAGGAGGAAAAGGAGGAGAAGGAGAAGGAGGAGGAGGAGGAGGAGGAGGAGGAGAAGAAGGAGGAGGACGAGGCAGAGGAGAATAAGGAGGAGGAAGAGGAGGAGGAGGAGGAGGAGGAGGAGGAGGAGGAGAAGAGGAAGGGGGAGGAGGAGGAGGAGGAGGAGGAGGAGGAGGAGGAGGAGGGAGAGGAGCAGGAGGAGGGGGAGGAGAAGGAGGAGGAGGAGGAGGAGGAGGAGGAGAGGAGGAGGAGGAGGAGGAGGAGGAGGAGGAGGAGGAGGAGAGAGGAGGAGAGGGAGGAGGAGGGAAGAGGAAGCGCGGAGGAGGGAGAAGGAGGAGGAGTAGGAGGAGTTCGTAGGAGGAGGAGGAGGAGGGGAGGAGAAGGAGAAGGAGGGAGGAGGGGGAGAAGAGAGGGAGACGGGGAGGAAGGAGGAGGAGGGGAGGAGGAGAGGAGGAGGAGGAGGAGAAGAGAAGGAGGAAGAGGAGGAGGAGGAGGCGAGGAGGAGGAGGAGGAGGAGGAAGAGGAGGAGGAAGAGGAGGAGGAGGAGGAGGAGGAGGAGGAGGTGGAGGGGCAGGAGGGGGAGGAGGGAGGAGGAGGAGGAGGAGGAGGAGGAGGAGGAGGAGGAGGGAGAAGGAGGAGGAGAAGGTGAAGGGAGGAGGAGGAGGAGGAGGGGAGGCGAAGAGGAGGAGGAGGAGGACGAGGAGGAGGAGAAGAAGAGGAGGAGGAGGAGGAGGAGGAGGAGGAGGAGGAGGAAGAGCAGGAGGAGGAGAAGGAGGAGGAGGAGGAGAAGGAGGAAGGGGGAGGAGAAGGAGGAGGAGCAGGAGGAGGAGGGAGGAGGAGCAGGAGGAGGAAGAGGAGGGAGGGGAGGAGGACGAGGAGGAGGAGGAGGAGGAGGAGGAGAAGAGGGAGGAGGAGGTGGAGGAGGAGGAGGAGGAGGAGCAGCAGGAGGAGGAGGAGGAGGAGGAGGAGCAGGAGGAGGAGGAGGAAGAGGGGGGGAGGAGGAGAAGGAGGAGGAGGACGAGGAGGAGGAGGACGAAGAGGAGGAGGAGGAGGAGGACCAGTGCAAACCCAAGAGTCACCAGCGATGTTGGAATCAACTCTCCCTCCAAGGTGCCTCGTCATAGGCCCCTACAACGGTGTATGTCCATTGAAGGAACTGCCTCGTTGGAAGACAACCGTTTGAGACCTTGAAGCATGCCAAAACATTGTTCTCTGGATTCCCAGGCCACGGATCAACCTGACTGCTGCGTCCTGACGATCTGGAATCGTGCCAGAACGCCGTTTCGGGGACTTCAACACCGCGAATCAACATAAGCGTTGTACCCGCATAGTCCTGAACCCGTCCAGAACACCATTTCTGGTACGTTGATCATGGGAATACGTGAAATCTTACCAATGGTTTAAACGAATGTGCGCGGCGCTAATGCGAGAATCACATGTTAAAAACCACCCGCCCTCAACCCGTGAAACTCTTGCAAAGGTGTACAACGAATGTGCGCGGAGCTGAGGCGAGAGCCACATTTTGAAAACCACCCGGCCTCAATCTGGGAAGTTCTTGCAAAACGAATGTGCGCGACGCTAAGGGATAGCCACACTTTGAAAAGGAACCGCCCTCCATCCGCGAAACCCTTGCAAATGTTTAAAACGAATGCACGCGGCGCTAAGGCGAGAGCCACATGTTGAAAACGGCCCGCCCTCAATCCGAGAAACGCTTGCATGTTTTTCACGAACGAATGCGCGCGGCGCTAAGGCGAGAACCACATTTTGAAAACCACCCGCCCTCAGTCTGTGAAACTGCTGCCACTGTTGAAGCTTCAGAATCATGAATGGTGAGGAAGTCTCAGGCGAAACGCCCTGCCCGCCCTAAAAACTGGCCTCGGGGTGCGACAGGGAGAAGTTATGTATAAGGAGAAGGAATGGAAGAGGGGGAGGAGAGGGAGCAGGATGAGGAGGGGGAGGAGGAGGAGGAGGAGGAAGAAGAGGAGGAAGAGGAGGAGCCAGTCGGGGGCACCATGCGCCGAAGCAGGTCGTCCCCAGAGAGCGGACGCTCCAAAACACTTGGGGCCGGCGGGTTGTTTCGCAAACTTCGGCCTCCAGAGGCCCTCGCTGGGCCTCGCCTCACATCTTCTCGAACCTTCCCTCACCGCCTCCCGCCAGCTCGCATCACCTCGCACCTCCTCGCACAGCCGCGCACATCCTAGCTCATCCTCGCACATCATCGCATCTCCCCGCTCCACCTCCTCCTTCTCCTCCTCCTCCTCCTGCTCCTCCCCCTCCTCCTCCTCCTCCTCCTCCTCCTCCTCCTCATCATCATCATCATCATCATCATCATCATCATCATCATCATCATCATCATCATCATCATCATCATCATCATCATCATCATCATCATCATCATC